ATTCTTGAATCTGGTTATTTTCTTTGAATTGAAAAGTTCGAAGGAAAATACTAATGACTTTTTTTAAATAAATGTACCTACATCTTTTTCATAATTTATTTAATATGTTGATATTAGAAAAAAATTAGTTTTTCATTTGTCTTTTGTTTAAATAATTTCATAGAAATGACGAAAATTTTAAATAAATAGTAGGATTGATTGGATGTAGATGTATATACAGGTTTCAAAAATAAATACCCGTTAGTAAAAAAATTTCTAACTGTCGGGTTCCTTGTGATCCTTTCATGGAACTCTAGAGTGCCATTCAAAACGTGTTCCATGTGAAAGGGTGTTCCGTCCGTAAAAGACTTTAGAAACATCTAGATTAATAGATACCAGTTTAAATTTGCATGCTCGTTTAAGCGTTCTGAAATAGCTCATTACTCATTATACTGGGTTATTCATAATTCCCTCTGCCTGTAAACGCCATTTTTCTTGATAACAACTGGCTTCAGTAGTACATGTTACTGCCATCTATCGGCAACTGCTTAAATTAAAACTTGAATACTTTCGGAATAATTCATATGTTCTTCTTTGCCATATTCATCTTCGTTTTTTTACTATAACTCTTCGAAACCCCGGTGGGAATTATGAGTAGCCATGCATTTCTACCAAAAAATAAAACGAAAATCGTTGTTGCTGAGCATTTCTAAAAACAATTAAAAAAAATAAATGGTTGCTATTCCTTGGTTAAGTAGCATCCAGGGACTCTGTGGAGGAGGGCAGAAGGCAAAATTACCCGTCTCAAATCAACCAAATTCGCCTTAAGCCCAACTAATAGTTGATTTAAACAAAACTCCGAGATTTATAATTTCATATTTAATTAGTATTTTTTTTTTTTTTTGTAATTCATTTTAAACGATATATTATATACTATTGATAAAAAAAAATGACTGGTTTGAAATGAATTTTCCTCTAGTAATAACTAAAAAACTTGAAACATTTCTACGGAAAAATAATGCATCAATAAATAAACAATAAACGATGTAAAAAAATTTATATTTTTGGTTAAAAAAATACTTTGCATTCTCAATAAATCAAAAATTAATATGATTTGAAGACCTAAAGTTAAATGGAGAATAGCGTCGTTCAGTTATGGCGACGAAAAACCGATCCCTTCACAAAAATCAAATTCGTAAAAACTCAAAATCAAATTTATACAGCAGTTCTGCTTACGCGCATCAACCTAATCAAATGCAGGGGGGGCGGAATGATATGAGCCTAGGTAGCAGAAAAATAATAATGGCGAAATATTTTCTGCAGTCAACCAGCTATTTATTTAAAAAATGGTCAGAAAAAGTCCGACCGAAAAAAAATTATCGATTTACCGGTTAATAGGCCGATTTTTTTTTTTTTTTTAATGCAGCTTTGACAGAGAAAGACGAAAAGAAATTCGTCTGTAGACAAAATATTTTTTCACTCTGCCAACTTGCTCATTAAAAAAATAATAAAAAAATCAGAAATAAATGCTGACTGGAAAAAAATCAATAGGTTTATCTGCCTATAGGCCGACTAGAGTACTCCTCTATAACTTTGGAGGGGCAAATTATCTTTTCTCCTCCCCCTCTCACTATGCCCCTGATAACATCACTCATATGAAGAAGTATAAAAAGTGTAGGTTGCAAACAAATAGGAAACTCTCAGTATAAAGGGAGAAAGTAGGAAGAAAGAAACAAATACCTGTAACCTTGAGTTGCGTAATTTCAAGGCTTTTCCATCTTCGAAAACTGATTACAGTAACAGGCCTAAGAAACAATGATTTTGAACCTAACAGGTGAATCGAGACCTTTTTTAATTGTTTAAAAATTGTCAGTTTCGATTGAAATAGATTAAGGAAATATTTTAACCCTTTTTAAAATCATTAACGTATTTACAATAATTAACTTAATAATTAAGTTCTGCGAAGTATTTTTTCTAAATATTCTTTAAAAATGATTTTCATATAGTGAAAACTTGATTTGTTTTTTTATAGCTCTAGTTACGTTCCAAAGTATATCTACCAATATTCTCATTCGAATCGCGTAACGTAAGGATGCAGTTCAAACACTGCGTAAGCAAATAACTTATCATTAGTAAAATAAATATCAATAGTTATAAAAATGATTTTCATTTATTGAAAACTTGATATGTTTTTTTATAGCTCTAGTTACGTTCCAAAGTATATCTACCAATATTCTCATTCGAATCGCGTAACGTAAGGATGCAGTTCAAACACTGCGTAAGCAAATAACTTATCATTAGTAAAATAAATATCAATAGTTATAAAAATGATTTTCATTTATTGAAAACTTGATATGTTTTTTTATAGCTCTAGTTACGTTCCAAAGTATATCTACCAATATTCTCATTCGAATCGCGTAACGTAAGGATGCAGTTCAAACACTGCGTAAGCAAATAACTTATCATTAGTAAAATAAATNTTCAAAACTGCTTCCATTTTCATGGCCCAAAGATGATAATTAGTTCCAGTCAACTTCGGAATTCCAAAAGCTAAGTCTTTCTCCATGATGATCGTAAACCACGCTCTGCTACCACTGTTGTTTGGTTGAATAACACAGAGGCTAATGCCGGCAAATAAAGTATTTATTAAAACATAATATGAGGAAACAATAGTTCGCACACACAGTGCTACACATCTGAATCAACCAACAACTAGCCAGCTTCTTCAACAAATATATATCTATTTCCCCTATCGGGAAGTCGTTGTATTACATCACGCAACTTATTTGAGAAGGAGAGGAAAAATGAGATTTTATTTGCATATTAACAACAAAATTAACAATCAAATTTTATTTTGTTGTCATGATGTTTCGTAATAATTGTGGTTAAATTTGGTAGTTTTATCATGATACCATAGAGACTGGCATAAAAACAATTTATTCTGTTAAAATTAATTTTAAGTTTTTTTTTTTTTTTACTAAATGTGGGGTTATAAGAACTATAATTTTGACTGTGACACCATATGTAAAGGAAAACTTACCAAATAAATGGTTCAAATAATATGTAATTTTCATTTTATAACCGTCGTTAAACAGAGCCGACCCAATTTTTGGGTTTATGACTTCTAATGTTCAACTCCGTAGCCTTATAATTTTGAGCCCAATCCAGAAGACAAGGGAGGTCCTGGTTCAAGCATTGGAGGGAAACTTTGCTTTCGTGGAGGACTTTTTCATGGAACTAACCCGCATTCGCGTTACATGGAGAGGAAGACCACAAGAACCTCCCAAGGTTTGCCTGAAGGCAAGAGGGACTGTAAACCTTGATGTGTCTACCATTGAAATGCCAACAAAACCAGGCATCACCTGAGCACATCTTGAACTGTTTAGGGCTGGACTGGAATGACATTCATTCCTCTCCCATTCTGGTTTCGGATTTTATGAATATCAACGGATTCATTGATCTGGTCTGACCCCGTCAGACCAGATGGGAATTAGCAACAACAACAACAAATAAAAAATAGCCACTTTTATGGGTTTTTTTTTTTTTTTTTTTTTTTTTTTTTTTTGAAAAGGCCGTTGAGTGGGCAACCACTACCACGTAATTCCTATCACTCTCAATATTATTATTATATATATGTGTATCATAATTCCTAGAAACGACTTATTATAGTGACCTCTGGGTATTCGATAGTAAGAGTTTAAATTTTGAGTCATATCTGGTAAACTTAAAATAGCTGAACCGCTGAAAGAACCTCGAGTGCAAAGAGTTAAGTTCTTCATATTTCAGTTCGGGTAAAGTGCTCAAAAAAATAAACGAACCACCCTGAATAACTTTTGATCTAATGGTTCTTTTGATCTTTTCCTTACATTCTAGGACTCATTCCTAATGGTTTGAGGGGGTGACCGCAAATATGCTAATATATAAATGCAGACGATATTTTAAGTTACGAAATCATGCACAAAACTTTCTTTCTCTGAGCAAACATAGCTTTTTTTTTCGATGGATTCGGAATTATGGACCCTCAATCTGGAAATATGGTCTCATTAGTTTGGTTAGGAGAACGGTTCAAAGTTTGGATCCCTCAATGTCGTTTTTACTTTTTTTGTATTTCACCATAGCTCGCACTCTTTTTAAGTGAATTGAAATATGTTACCTACTTTTCTAATATACTACCAAGGTATTCGTATATTAATTTTAAAATAATAAAATTACTTTTTATACAAAAATTAACCATGAAGTTAAATAACGACGAGTAACACAATCGGTAAATGCCTCAACAGATACTCAGCATGTTGTTATTTGGAGTTATTATTATTAATCCAAAACCGACTTTTCATTTACTTTCTTCAACATTTTATAAAAATTATTGAAACACATTTTAAGACAAAATTTATATAAAATTAACATAATATCTGGAAAATTAACTGAGGATATATCGACTCAATTTTTAAAAGTTGCACGCAAATTATTTTTCTCATTTTTTCATACAGAATTGCAGAAAATGTCTTGTTTCTTAAAAAACAATTTCGAATTCTTTTATTTTTACATTATCTGAATTGGTTTTCTTTTATACAATGTATATGAGTTGATTGACTTACACATATTACATAGGTTTGGTTTTAATACGTATCAGAAAATTAGGGGAGTCCTTTGAGTTTATTAATTTTAAATTAATTAATACAAGTTATTATTCATTTTAAAATAATGAAATTAATTTTTATGTAAAAATTAACAATAGAGCTAAATAACGGAGAATAACACAATCACTAAATGCCTATTAACAGATACCCATTATGTCTAATACAGTTACATAACCTTGGATGCTACCTTAAAAAGCATCTACATTAACATAAATCGAAAATATTCTAAGTGAAGTTATTAACGGGTCCTATGCAATGCCCAAATGAGTCAAAAGGTATAATCACACATAATTTATGAAAAGAAACAAAACAAGCGAAAATTAATTGTGGAATTCTTTAAAAGGGTGCAGGATCTCAACTATCAACAAAAGGAGCCTTGGCAATCACAAGTTCACTTTCTTCGTGTGCCTTAATTTCAAGGGTAGTGAAAGTGACAAAAAAACAGAATACAAAACCCATGGGCGGTCACCTTCATGTTGGCCATGAAAATGTCAACCCACATGGAGTATATATGCTATGACAATGATTATCACATGGTTGAGTAATGAAATACTAATATTACAAAGATGCTTCGAATGGTAAGTTAACATAACCCATGTTTATTTCATTCTAATTTTAAATAACACTATTTTAGGTAAATAGTTTAATTTTGTCAATTATGTTGAAATTATACCAATTATGTTGTTATATTATGTTGTAGTTAAATAATTTAATTTTTCCATTACCAATTATGATAAAATTATTAAGTAAAATTATAATCATTAAATTAAATTATAATTATTTAATAAAATTATAATTATTTAATAAAATTATAATTATTTAATAAAATTATATTTATTTTATAAAATTATCGTTACATAATAAAGTTATTATTATTTAATAAAGTTATATTTATTTAGAGAATTTTAATTGTGATAATGTAAATTAAAATAGTATTAATTTTAAAAAACATTAAAACTGAACTTACGACGAAATTTTTATCAAAATTTGATTTTAATGTTATGTAAATTAAATTTAGACGTAAATTTCATAATAGCATGAAAACAATTTTTTTTAAATTAAAATCTATTTAATTTTTAGAACCTTAAAAAATATAATTATAATGATACAAATCACAATAATGTTAAATCCAAAATTGTAAGTAATAGTTATTTAATAAAATTATGATTATTTTATAAAGTTACTGTTATTTAGCAAATTTTAATTGTGATAAAGTAAATTAAAATATTGTTAATTTTAAAAAAATAATTATGATAATAAAATTTTAAAACTATAATTAGAATAAAATTTTAATATTATCTTTGATTTAAATATTAAGTTAATTAAATTTAGATCAAAATTTCATAATGACATTAAAATCAAAATTATATTTATCTATTTTATTTTAAAAATTGCAATTATGATAATTCACATCACAATAGTATTAAAACTAAAACTATTAGCATGAAGTAATGAGTTATATTAATTTTAAATTTATGGTTATGATTTTATTACTAGAATGGCATCAATTTTCAGCTTGCAATTATTTTAACCAAAATTCAAATGTCATTCATTTTTAAATTTTTGTTATAATCATGTAACAATAATATGTGCGTGTCTAATCAAACGAAATTATTAACTGTTAAACTTATAGTAAAAAATACCAGGAGAACCGGTCTGTACCCCTAGACAAGTACAGCTACATTGTTCAAATTTAACATGTCTATGGTTGCTATTACATAGGACTTGGTTCTGAACTGGTTATATATGTTTGTATAATACAGCGTGACGTGTGTCCAGAAATGATGAGATGCGAAATTTTGTCAAAATGGGGAGGGGTAAAAATATTAAAAATAATATGTGACATCATTTAGAAACAACCCCTATCTTTGAAAAGTCATAAAGTGAATCATGCATGAATAACTATTACTTTTATTAAGCATAATATGCCCTTGAAACTTCAAGAAACCGATATGATTTTATTTCCTTAATGTTCTCGGATATTTTTTGTCACTGTTTTTAATTACACGTATTGAGACTTTACATTAGCTGTGGTAGCCCAGTGGTTAGAGCATCAGACTTCGATCTAGAGGGACCAGGATTCGATCCTCTTAGCCACAAAGAACGACAGAGTATATGTGATATACGTGCTCGTAAAATCTGTGGTCAGTCTCTTAGCAATATCATAACTTCAGGGATCTGGAGAAAATGTCCTTCTTCAGATTTATAGCTAAATTATGGAAGTGGCCTCACGAATAAGTGATGTGGCCATCTATTCAGGGGGTTCTAACTAAAGTAACACTTTTACTCCAGCGGTGCTCTCTTTCAAACGAAAGGAGCCCCTTCATGACTTAATTCGCAAGTTCCATGGTTGACAAGCTTGGCTTCTCAAAGTGTCATTAGAAAGAACATTAATACAATTTTGCGAAACTATTTTGTTATTTTAACATTTCAAGCAAAATTTAAAATTCTACTTATTATAATAGTTTTGGGAGTTTTGAAAACGGAAATAAACATTTCTTTTTCATTAAAAATAAATAATTTTATATAAATTTAAAAATTTATTTGTTGAGCAATTTAATGTTCATTAAAGTAGGAACGTGAGATGCAAAGTTATAAAACATTTAAGGCAAAGAGGGAAATTTAGGGATATGCCCAGTTAATTGTTTAATTTTTTTCTGTTTTTTTTCTTTCTTTCTTTTTTTTCAAGAGTTTTCTGTATCTTTCTCACAATTATTTTACATATTCTCTACACGTATCAACTTCCTAACTTCCTTTCTTCTTTTCCTCCCTAAAGTTTTAGTAGATGATATTCATCATCCTAACATTTTTGCATTTCTGCGAGCTATTGGTATTTTATATTGTATATAACTGCTTTATCTGATTTTATTCACTCTTATTTCCAACCCATAAACCGTTTTACCTTCTCTGTGTATTTTATAGAATTGCGCTTTTTATTGATTTTTATGAACTTTTGAAAATACGTGTCTTGAGAAACTATTTTATTAGTTTCATTTATTTTATGACAATGAAACTATTGTGTGCAATTTACCATTAGATCTAACTCAACAAATTGTTTGGCCCAGCATATCCTCCTTTGGATCTTGTGCCATAAAACTTTTACATTCAATACAATACAATACCCTAAAGTTTTAGTAGCTTGTGATAGTGGTAAGATCCCGAAGCTATTGCAAGAAAATTTGAAAGTTTCACTGTATAATAACTTCTCCATTTCAACCGCTTTGGCCAAAATTGAAAACTAAATAGTTTTATTGTAAGTGGGTGTTTTGGGAAGGAAAAGAACACACCAATAAAAGAAATGTATAAATATATAAAAAGAAGAAGAAAAACTAATTATTTATAAGGATTTTTTTACAATTTAAGGGGAGGGAGGATTCCCCCAGATCTACCTCCTTGCTACAACTGTTCATGTTTCAGAGGTTTAAACCATTCTAGCCCTTCATAAAAAAAAATTTTACTGATAAAATGGTCCTTGTTTTTCTCCAAATCGAATTCTAGGCCATAAAATTAATGACAAGTATAAACAAAATGCGGAGTTGGTGAGTAGGTGACTTTTTACGATTTAGGTTGTTTTATTTAAAAATCAGCTGGAATTGCGCACGCGTACAATAATTTATTTTTTTCATGTAGCGCAGTGCAATTGTTTAAATATGATGTATTGTGCCTAGAAAAAGCAGCACGTGGAGTTTCAGTGTACAGCGTTTAACATATCCTTATTCTTAAAATGGTAATTTGCATAATATGCCCTTGAAACATCAAGAAACCGATTTAATTTTATTCTCATGACATTCTCTGACATTTATTTGTATTCTTACGTGACAAGTTTTTCTTTTGAAATGGTTGCTAATTTAACAAAATGCATTCAATTAAGAAAAATGAAAAGATGAAAATCTTTTAAAGATTTACTGAGATAAAATTACAACAGTTTTCGCTATATTAAGAGTTAATTTTATACGCTTCCTGTGCTAAAAATATTAATGTTGTGCTTTCCTGTGCTAAAAATATTAATAAACCGGTTTCTTTTTTTATAATTTAAATACACTGTTGGATGTATATTCAATAAGTTTTTTAAAAAAAATAAATAAACCGATTTAAACGTACTTAACCGATATGAAAGCTTTACTCTATTTTGCACCTTGGTTGTTTTTGACAAATTAATTTAAAAATTGCAAATATTTACAGAGTTTCATGAATGTAAATAGTTTGGATTTACTTATAGTTTTAATAATTTATTATATATTTTTATTGCAAAAATTATTAGAATTATATACTCTATATAGAATATATATACTCTATATAGAATATATATACTCTATATAGAACTATTTTTACTATATAACTCTATTTTTCGGGAATAAAAGTTTAAAAAAAAGGTTTTATAAAAATAAGTATTTATTGTCAGTTTCCTGATTATAATTATCTGATTACATTCAACTAATGCAGGGGTCGCCAAACTTTTTTGATCACCGACCCCCATATAATTTTTCGAAATCTCCGTCGACCCCCACAAAAGTAATTTTCTGTTAATTTAAATAAAACTCTATTAGATACTGTGTTTGTTCATTTATTTTATGATTTTAAGCATTTATTAAAGTAATAGTACATTGTGTAACAATAGTTTTATGAAAAATATATTAATATTGAAATTTAAATACCTTATTATTAAATAATAAGGAATTATGCATAAGTAGATATAATAAGTAAAGTAACTAAAGGTTTACTGCTTCTTGATCAATGAGATGGGAGTGTCTGGTGTTTTTTTGCAAGGTTCGCTATATTGGGTTCAAAATTGGTCAATTTTAATTTTCATCAAAATTGGTCAATTTTGTAATTTTCGTAAAAAAATACAAAATGTACTATAGTTTTGTCGCGGGCTGTACTAATCCATATTATTAATGCTTACCTTCTTTTTTGTGCATTGATAATTAAAATTGATATGTAAACCAAACGAATGGTTTTATCGAAACAATAACTAATTATCCAAAATTATAAAAGTTTTAATAATGACACTGCAAATATTCAACACAGTTTGCAAAGATAGCTGAAACTGCGTATGATATTTGCATTTGTAACGTCAATGCTCGTCACACGTGACATTTGGACAAGCGCACATATGCATATGACTTATAAACTGCGCTGAGTTCGTGCCACTGCGCGGTGGTACGTAAATACTTGTTTCACCCCAATAAATATACGTTTATTAATTTATGTTTTATAAAGAAACTGATATTGAGTCAATTATATATAAAAAAATTCGCAAATTTTACATACTTAATTAGGTATGTGTGATTTGCGTATTGAGAGCTGTTTTTTTTCGACCCACAATCGACCCCATTCGCCCCCCTGTCTCAGATCGACCCCCGTTTTTGTTAAATAGACCCCTGGAGGTTTATATAGATCACTTTGGCGAACTCTGAACTAATGTATATTTAGTAGTTTTTTTGCAAGCATTTATGAATTTTTCTTACCGGTTGCTAAATTGTACCGAATAATAGAAGCAATTTCGTAACCTCCTCGACTTGACTTCTGACAGTACACTTTCAGAAATGAACTATTATTTGGCTTTCGAAGATTGAAAACTTTATACGCTTCAGAAATAAACAAATATGAAATAACAGTCGACATATTTTCAAGCGCTTCAAAATTAGGCACAAATTTTCAAAACTTGCCAGACGTGAATATAAAAAGAAAAAACAAAAAAAATTTGAAATAAAAAACCTAAGATTGCCATCGAAGAATGGAAAAATAAAAGTGAGATACAAAACATGTAAAACCACAGAAGCCGCGAGAAAAAAAAAAATGATTAAAAACAGGACAAGAAAAATCGCTATAACCAAGGGGCAAGTCAGGGTAAAATGCATTTCCATGGAGAGGAGGGGATTTATCTAATGTCCCTTGTTACTAATGTCGTTAACTAGAAACAATCCTGTGTTCGTGCACGAAAGTGTAAGATTTTGCTGTGAGAGAGTGATGGTCAATACTGGCATCTCCACTGATGGGCGCAGGCGCATTGATCTCCATATCATTCGAAATGGAGATCCTGAGGTCTATTATAGACATTTACGCTGCAGCGATTGGAAATGACTTCATGCCAATGGACGATAATTGCAGGCCACATCGTGCGAACTAGATAAAAGATTTCATTTTGGAAGAAGGAATCATACGAATGGATTGGCCAGCATGTTCTGTCGGCATGAACCCAATCCAGCATGTTTGGAGACATTCTAGGATGACTAATTTCTGGACGCCTACAAAACTCACAAACACTCCAAGAACTGGAAAGAGCTCTTCTGGAGGAGTGGAACATAGTACTCATGTCCCTCATTAATAACCTCTGAAACAGATTAACTTAAAGGCCAACAGATGGCTCTCAGACTGAACACATATAATGAATATTAATGTTTTTATTTTATTTTTAGTTTGATTTCCATAGCTTCGTTAAAGAAGATCGTTTTGTGTAATGTCCGTCCTGTCATTAAATTTGTTATATTGTTAGAATTCGTTTTCTTTTAAACACAAGCGAAGAAGATTTGCAGTAGCGAAGTCTGGTAAATAGATAAGATCCAGGTAGGAAAGAACATTTGAACTATTTCTATTCAATTTCTTTAACCTCATTGACACGATGCCTCAAAAGTGTCAAACGTTGCTGGCCGTCCAGGGAAACCATACCCCCTACTAAAAACGATTTTCTTTTAAGGAAAAACCTTTTTTAAATTGTTTTTCTCATATCCACAAATTGTGTTTTTTTTTTCCTTTTTTACCCAAATGCTCAATAAAACGCATTTTTTTTTCTGCCAAGCAAGTCATTTCATTTTTATCTCATATAGCTTACTATGTCTGTCGATAATGTATCAATCAATCAAACAACTCACCCGGTGCAAGAACTACGCACAACCTCAATATCCTTCCACTGTTTTTTCAGCAATTTTCAAATCTAGTTGACCTTTGAATTTCAAATCCCGCATAACTAGATTCGAGATATGAAAAAGAAATCTTTAAAGAAAAGACACCCTCAATAAATCTCTTTACACTCGAATTTATATGAATAAAACGTTTCTAGCTGTTAATTAATCAAAGCTATTGCTAGTTTTTTTCCTCCCGACCATCAATCAACGCTGTTTATTCTTTTAAAATAAATTTTAAACTAAATTGTTATTGATAAATAATTTTCATATGCTTCATTTGCTCACCTGTTAATATTTCAATACTATTTTGATACAAATATTTCTAAATTAATCCAAATATTCAATATCTAACAAATCTTTTAACTGTTACTTCCATTTAATTTCTCTCTATATTGTAAAATCGTGAGTGCCAGCGACTTCGCTGTTTTGGGTGTTTAACTTAACTTACCTATTACTTATACTTACATTTTGTTTTTCTGTGCAAAAACTATAAGACATCGAAACTGGAAATTATGAAGGTGTGTGGAAAAATATGCACGGTGTGCAAAGGAATAAAAAAAATTTAACATTCAATTATTAGTTTGAGAAAAATTAACTGTTAAACTTGCTGGAAAAAACACCATGCGGGTAACTCTACAAGCTTCAAGAATGCAACTACAGAATTGAAATTTGATATGCTGAAAAGGGCATTTTTGTTTATGAAAGTCTTCGTAAAAGTGATTATTGCGTATTTTTTAAAAAAATTTTTCGCTTTCTGTTACATTTTGTTATGCTGGTATTCTGTAAGGCTTAGAAACTTGATATTGTGAAGGTGTGTAGAAAAAAAGAGAAAGGGATTAGAAGAAAAAAAAATTTCAAACTCGATTAATAGTTCGTGAATTTTCAAGCGTAAAAGAGAAAAAACTATGTTGTCCGATCTTCTACCCGCTGAAATGCAACTACAGGGTTGAATTCTGTCATCCTGAAAGGGCCATATTTTCAATTATGAGCTTGACACCAGTTTTTTTTCTTTTCTCTTTTTTTTCGATATTCCAATTTTTTTCGAAGTTTATTGCAACTTTAGGTGCTTTTTTCGAGATTTTTTTTTTTTTTTTTTACTTTTAATAATGATTATTTACTAATTTTTGTTGAACATTTTTTGTCTTTCGAGAGCATTATTTTTAATAATTTGCTTAAATTTATTTCTTGAGCAGTGTGCCTGAAATTAATACAAGCTACAATCGTTCTTTAAATTGTGCAAGGAAAATTTATCATGAATCGAAATTTTGACCACTTTCCGAAATACTAATCACACAGATAACTTTTTTAAAAAAATTGGAAACTAAAATAGAAAATTTTAAAACTGTGTTTTTCAAGTAGACTAAATGGTATAAAATAATATTATTTCTTTCAGGTCTAGATTAGAAAACTTAATGTGCATCAATATTGTATAAACTTCAATAACCACTGAAAATACTCCTCATATTTCAAAGGTGATGCACCCTATGTTCCTCGTTTTATATCTGACAAAAATACGATTCTTTTTGCATATTTACTCTCCTTTGAAAGCGTAGTTTTTGTTATTTTTATTTTATTTAATTTTTAATCAGTTTTTGATCAGCAAAAGATGAAAAACTTTCACATAAAACGAAAACAGTTTAGATTTGATATCATCCTATATCCATTTAAAATTAAAATTTTATCTGAAACGAGGAAATATCCACTATACTTTTTCTAATATGTTCTATAATTCTTTTTTGCTTTTGTAGTTTATTGAAATCTTCGCTTAAAGGAGGGGATGAGTGGTATTTTATAGAATTTTTAAAAAAATATCTTTCATAATGACCACAATTTGATGTTTTTAGAATCCTTCTCAAAAGAAGTTCTGCATTAGAACTTGCAAATTAATATTGAAGGGAGTGTAGGCAAAGCGGAAAACGTCAAACATGTTTGATTGCCTTCGGAAATAAAGAAGAATTGAAAGAAGGTGATTAGGTGCTTTTCCTCTGGCCGTACTATTAAGCGATTCGACAGATTTCGAGGGAGTTTTCGGCATTTTACGTATCTTGAACAAAACATACAAAATATGTCTGTGTGTTCTGTAGCATTCTAGTGAAAGTCAAAATTTCTCTGTTGTTTCAGAAATGTTAAAGATTAAATATTTACTTTTTATAAAAATCTTCAGCATTTTCAAAGATTTTTTCACATAGATTTTCATAGATATATTTAACTAATGACAACAGTAACAAATTCCTTTGATAATTTATTTTACAGATAGGCATTTTGCTGGTATCCTCTCTTTTTCACACCATCTACGCCCAGGAGCAGGCCGAACATAGAAACTTCCAATACCAGTCAGCAATAGATCCTCTAACAGGTCGTTATAATTTCGCTTACGACACTGGAAACGACAATAACATTGCCCATTCCATGCACATGCAGTATCAAGACGCAGATGGCATGGTTAGAGGAAGATATGGTTACACTGATCCAAGAGGAAAGTTGAGGATGGTAGAGTACGAAGCAGGACCTGATGGTTTTATAGCCAGAGGAGATGTTGGTGTAGACATGGCTTTACATGACAACACTCCAGTAGTAAGCTCAGAGAGTCCAATCTCATCTTACAGAGAAGGAGATTTTCTTCTGGATCCTGCTCCTGTGCAGATGGCTGGTTGGGATCCAGAAGGAAATCCTATGGGTACAAATGTCGCAGGTAATCCACAAAATGTTGAAACTGCTACGAGTGCACCTGAATCGGAAAATGCGGATGTATCCTATATAAACCCTTTTGACAGGAGTCTTTTTCCTGGATTTCCATCATTAAATGTTACGAGTAACAATCCTATTACTGTCAACGATCCTAGTTCTGCTGGTTATGATGAACGATATCCGAGAATATTGTACTCAGCGGTAAGTCTGTTTTTTTTCGTCCAGTAATTTACAGTCTACGATGTTGCTTGATATGTATTTGCTCGTATTGATAAAAATGGTCACATGGGTGTTCTGTAATGACCACCCTTGACACATACTTTTAGAATCCTTATCGAAAATGAAGCTTAAAAGATATACACATAAAGTGTCTCAAATTAATACTTAATCTAACAAAATACAAAAACATTTTTGATATCTAACTCATCACAGCAAAAAAAACCCATCAAAACCAGTATATTTATCAGAGAAAACAGAGAGTTAAAAGATGGCGCAATCAAACAGCTTTTAATGAGTTTTACCCCGCCTTCCTCACAAGTGATTTAGCATATTTCGATGGTGTATATATACTTTCCCGGCTTAAATATTAATTTGCGATACATAATGTGCATGACTTCTTACTTCATTTTTGACAAGGATTCTAAAAATATGTATTAACCCTTTAATGGATGGGACACAGATGTCCCTTTTATAAATGTATTTTTTTTACGATGCCCTAATTATAAATAAAAATATATTTTGATATTTTTTAATTATAAAAAACAGTTTTATGGTTACTGAAAAATATCTGTTAGATTATCGGCATTATATTTGTAATAAAACTTGAAAAAAAAAGTTTGAAAAAGAATTTTTTTACATTCATATTCAAAAATTCAGCAATAATTTATTTTGTAAATTAATGAAATTTCAATAATGAATAACAGTTTCTCTAGATCTAAATAACTGAAAATGAGTGCAAATTTGAAAAATTATTGTCTGAAAGATTTTATTACCACTAACGCAGAAAAAGACACCTGTGTTTCATACTGTATTTTATAACCATAAATCATTAAAATGCTTAATGTACTATTTTTTACTCATTTTGATCTAAATTAGTTCAAAATAAGGAAAAAAGTATAATAAATATGTTTAGTAAACATTTTGCTTCAAAGGTTTAAAAGAGGCGATTACGAACTACCTTTTATTCGCACACGATAGGCAAATTATTTCGAAATTGAGTCAAAAATTAAATTCAAGAATGGTTAACCTCTGTATTGAAAAGGCAGTGTAGTTTAAATTTTTACTTTATTAATTTTTTTTTCTACAAAGGACTCGGCGTTCAAGTAGCTACTTTAAATTAACAAATCTTAAGAAGCATTGCATAAAGCTGCAAATAATTTGATACATATATATTAGAGATAAATTTCTTTAGTTTTATATTATAGATGCATATCAGATGGAAATACTTTAAATATGAACCCAATAGTGTTTTCGAGAAGAAAAAAAACGAAAGTTTCGCCTATTTTTTCAACTATTTAAACAAATCATAGGATTATTTTAATGCAATTATGAAACACCTTTTATCCAAAGATACAGAATATAATATTTTATCATTTTTTTATTTTATTATATTTAATTTTGTAATTATCTATAACATTTTAAAATTGTTAGATAAACAAAAACTGTAGAAATAATAGTAATAGAACATATAAATAAAAGTAAAACATTCCCGATAATAGTAATAGAATATAGAAATAATAGTAATAGAATATAGAAATAAAAGTAAAACTTTCCCGCAAGAGACCGGTGTGGATTAGAAGAGTTATCGAGGTTGAGGCACCACAATTTCGTCAACAACTGCATGAGTGAAGGAATGGGGTCAGCATTGCATGTGCCATTGCATTGCATAAGCCACCTTAACTTCCCCTAACAAGTATAGTTGAAGTATAAGTGCAGTTCATTTACTTAACACTAGAGCTGCACAATGGCCTATTTTAATTTATTTTATTTTATAACCGTCGTTGAACAGCCAACCTAATTTGAGTTTGTGACTACCAATGTTCAACTTCGTAGCTTTGTAATTTTGAACTCAATCCAGCAAACAAGGGGATTCCTGGATCAGTACCCTCTAAGGTATTGATTTGTTTTAGGAACTTGGAGGACTATGTGACCCCGACAGATGCAACGTGCACCAGTCACCAATTAGTACACGGAGATTCTTCGTTCGGCTGGATTCGAGCTCCGGTTCTCGCGAACACGAGTCCAACACCCTACCAGCCAGGCTATCCCAGCCACAATGGCCTACAGTCGGCGGTCTGGTAAAATTTCCTCCGGATGATCCGAAGGCATGCTATCACAATTTTGATCCTTTGCAGAGAAAATGACTCCCCCGTTTTAACGCCACCTTAACCTTAAACGCCAAAATTATTTTGTTAAAACGATATTTTAAGTTACGAATTCAGTCACAAAACTTACTTTCTCTGAATAAAAATGCAGTTACTGCGGATTCGTATTATTAACCCTCAAAATTTGAGAGGATAGTTGCTATCTGATCTAATAATTAGTTCGGTAGTGAAAGTTCTGACTATTTAAGAATATTTATTTCAGTTTTTGCGTATTTTGCTATCTTAAAGGGGTCGTAATTTTAAATTTTTATTTCTCAAGGAATGAATTGATCTGCTTCAAATTTTGCATCATGTCGTTTGAAACTTCGTAGACTAACGCGGAAAAAAAGATTAATGTACCTTAAAATTCAAGCTTTTTTTTTTTTTAGATCCTTGTATCAAAGAATGTTAAATAATTGTAAATAGTTCTTTTTTGCCAGGAATTATCTTCGAATAAGCACCTTTTGTAATCGTGAGGAGAACAAAGAAATTCGATTCGCTTCATTAGTTCCTGAGCTAACTTTTGTGCTTGTAACTAATTCAATCAATAGTTGATACTAAATAAGAAGCATGTGAAAACACATCTTTTTGAGCCTTTTAAAATTGATTTTCAATTCCATAATTATATCAGAAGTTATGTTTTCTTTTTTTCCGCACTGTGCATTCTGTACCGTTGTAAAATATTGTTTCTGTAGCAATGGATATGTTACTTAATTCAAGAAAAAATAAAAAAGTGCTCGAATGTATTGCTTTTTATTAAAAAAATAATAATTAGACAATCGTTAACGTTCGCATCACTTTTAGATATTTATAGTTCTTATAGCAATTAATTGGCTTTCTTATTGGTTGTTCATATTGTGTTGTAAAACGTAGTTTAAAAAAAAAGAAGCGAGAAGAAAAAGGCGGGGAAAAAAACTGTGGGGGGCCGAGTATTAGACCATGTCAACTGTCATCTATGAAAAGGTACCCCTACATAGAGTCGAGTTAACATGTCTTATATACTAGTGAATTGTAGTTGTAATTTTGAAGTGGTAGATACGCTACAGTACTCCGCCACCAGAATTATAGCTATGATAGAATTCGATGAATGGATGCCACTAGTTGATTTATTGCTGTTTTGTGCGAAGCCGGGAGAGCTGTATTAAGATCACCGTATTTTTTTGAGTGCTGAATGTGAGAGGTGTATTAACTTCACGGTTGTAGTCGCTCCTGTGTTGCCGTTAGCAGTCGAGTGTATGCAAGCCAACGTTGTGTGTGATCGAGATGAGACTGAGTAGCAACAGCGTGAGGAGGTGGATAATGATGCAGTCACAAGTAGCAAGTCAACTGTTCAATGTGGACCATCCAACGAAGTAGGCGTTACTGCCGATGTAGGCGTATCCAGATCAAAGTGGGCGTTTTTGCCAAGGTAGGCGTGTTCACATCGCGTCCGAAGGTCACCAATGTGAGGAGCGTAGTTACAGACCATGTCAACCGTCATCTATGAAAAGGTACCCCTATATAGAGTCGAGTTAACATGTCTTATATACTAGTGAATTGTAGTTGTAATTTTGAAGTGGTAGATACGCTACAAAACTTTCTAAGACTGAGTTTAAGAATAGATTTGCTTGGCTCTTTTTTAATCTTTCATTTCATTTCGTTTTCTTCTAAGCGTAAACTTTGATTGAGAAACATAAAACTTGGCTAAAAAGAAAACAAATTCACCGTGCTCCTTTTTTACTGTTACTTCTGCACATATATTAACCAAGTATTTGAGAGTATAAGGTTACATCTGTTTCAGTTTGATATAATTCTTTTAATATGAAGTTAATCCTAATATTAATTGCCATTGTTCCAAAAATTTTTAAATAGTAAATAATATTTTAAATAAAAAATTTTAAAATTCTGAAGATTACTTAAATTTGAATTATATATTAATCAATCAATAATTCCATATCAAATACTATTGATTTATTTGAAGTAAAAAATATATTATACTTTCATAATGATTTATATTTTTATAATTATTTAAATTCTTCCCTATTAGAGAGCTGAAGTGTCTTTATTTGAAGTCTAAATGCAATATTAAGGGTAAAAAAGTAAAAATTTTATAAATACAATGAAAATGCTTTTCAAGCGCCAATGCACGCCTTATTTAAAATTATTTTAATGTTCGTGCTGCCATCTAGTAGCTCTCAGTTTATTATTGAAAATTCTTCAATGAATGAGTATATTTTTTTGGTGCTGCCATCTAATATTTAAAATCTCAATGTAAGTAAGGCAATTTCTTACACTCGTATTTTTTAAAGATGTAACTTAGATTTATTTTTTAATAATTTAAAAACTGTTGTAAAAATGTTATAAAAGCAAAATTGTTTTTATTTTTTTTTTAATATTATAATTAGTACTTCAAAAGGAGAAAAACAAAAGATATAAGAAAAATGCAATACTTTTACATTAATATGAACGACAATAATAGACTTAACATATAATATTCGATCAATCTAAAAAATCATACTCTGTCGAAGCAAAAAATAATCTTTCATAGATTTGATAACAAAAATATATTATTTTATACCATTTATATTAATTTTATTTGCTTTAATTATTTTATCACATTGGTATTATTTTTCTTTGAAATTTATTATTAGTTAAAAAATAATTTTGTTTTTTAAAGAACAGCGGGAACAAAATCTTTGTGTTTAAATATTCTTTTGTTCAAGAATTATTGTTATGTTTCGACCTGAGTTGGTATTATATTTCATTAATATATAGATCAATTTTCTAGAACAAATCAGTTTTTTGGTTGTGAATTATTTCATTAAAGTCGTAAAATTTCTTTGTAATGAAAACTGAATA